GAATTTGGAGCTGATGGTTGTGTATTTAATTTTTAATTATCATGTATCTTATTGTATATTTTCATGTAACTTTTTCTTTTATATACTTATTTACTAGTTTATTATGTTGCTTTTTAGATGGGGAAATTTTGCTTCTACACACAAAAGTTGATCTAGTGATAACTCTTGGTGGCGATGGAACTGTTCTATGGGTATGTTGTCTCAGTTTGATTGAACTCATATTTTTTTAATGACATGATAAACCTTTGAGAATATCAAACGACATTTACAGTTGAGAATATCGAACTTTGGTTTGTACAAATCACTTTTTGTGTTAGAACAGATGGCATTTACATTTATTTTTTTCTACATATCTTTATGAGGGACTTTAAACTTTGTTAAATGTTTGTGCCCTCCGCCTGGGTTTTGATGCTTGTGGTGTACCATCCTAATGATGAGTACCCTTTAGAGCCTACTGGAAACATGAGAAGAGATAGGTAGTCTGGAAAACCGCATGCATTAATACAAGGAAAGTTAGTAAAACTAACTTTGACTGCATTATGCTGTTGATTCTGAGACACCTTTTTCTAAATTGGGGAGGGTTGGTTTGTAGAAAATATGAAAAACCAGTGGCTCTCTGCTGCTCATGTTGTTTCAGCTGATGTATCCTTGAAATACTTTTTCATTTGTCATTGACAAGTCTTATACATATATTCATGGCTGCACAATCTTTGTAAGTTGCAACCTTGTTCAATTTGAGCACATCTATGTTTTTGTCATCACTGAAAGGGAAAATTTTCTTAATATTAGTAATGCACATCTCCGTCCCAATACTATGGGGATTTTCATGGTTCTAATCGTTTGTTTGATGTTGAAAATTTGCAACTCTGAAAATGGATTCATTAAGGGACTGATCCACATAGAACCCCCTTGGCCCTCTGAAATTCTATAAGAAATATTAGAACTATTGAAAATAATGCTAAAAATACTAAGATTTGCCCCTTCTTAAATTGGAAGCAACAAATTGCATATGGATAATTGGTTACTCTAGTGTACCCAAAGTGTAAGGTATACTTGTGTATAGGAGAATTATTTGTCCATATTAATCAGATTTTATACGTAAAGCTATGTGATTGTTAGTTTCTTGAAACTTCTTTTTCCTCAAAACTTATGATCTTTCAAAAGCAATTAGAATAAATAAAGAAGGTTTGTGAGTTGAAATATTTGTTTCAAGACTTTGATAGCTTGAGACAAAATACCATTCTGTGCTTTTTTTAAAAAATAAATTTTCTAAGATGATTTTATTTTCATTTTTATGAAATTAAAAAATACGTATTTTGTTTGTTTTTGGTGGTTTTTATGAAATTCAAAACTGCACTAGTCGACATCATTCTGAATCCATCCCTGGGTTTGTTTTTCAAAGTTTTAAACCATCAAGTCTTTATATGGAGACAGGTTCTTCAACATGACTGAAATCTTTGGAATAGAACTTATCAATGCAAATAAATCTTGCACCCTTTGAATTTCTTCTGAGCTACTTATGTTTGTTGTTTTGTTATTTATTTTTAATTTCTTCTTAATTCATGCTTAGCAGCATTTGTCATCTGTTTTTCTCTGCAGGCAGCATCAATGTTCAAGGGACCGGTTCCTCCAATTGTTCCATTTTCATTAGGGTCTTTGGGCTTTATGACTCCTTTTCGTATCCTTTCATTTTTTTGAAGTATTTCTTTAATGAAAGATGAATGAATTGATGATTGAAAGTGGTTGTTTGAACATTCTTTTGGGATTTTAAATTGAGAATGCTTTTTAACTTGCTTACAAGAATTAAAGAGGATATTCTTTGACTTGTTCTAGATAGTGAACATTACAAAGAATGCCTTGATTCTGTCCTGAGGGGACCTATCAGTATAACATTACGACACCGCTTGCTGTGCCGTGTTGTTAGAGATGCAGCTAAAAATGAGTACGACACAGAAGAGCCTATTCTTGTTCTAAATGAGGTTACGATTGATCGTGGGATATCATCGTACCTCACAAATCTGGAATGCTATTGTGACAATTCGTTTGTCACATGCGTGCAAGGGGATGGTTTGATTTTATCAACAACGTCTGGTAGCACTGCATATTCATTGGCAGCTGGCGGATCAATGGTCCATCCACAGGTACTTTCTGATATTGTCATAACTGCCATCAAATTTGAAAATTCATGCCTGACCAAAGAACATAAGAACTTGTCAGATGACTTAAATTTTAATATGTTGCTTCCATATAGACTGGTTTCTAGGAATATAATACTTAATGGTACTATGTTCAAACAAAGATTTATGGTAGTACTTAAAATTTTTCAAGCTAGTCAATGCTGCTCAGCTTCCTTGAAGCATTGTTTTAGTTAAATGGTTACTTATAAGCTATAGTTTAAGAGCTAATGAACAATTAACATGTGATGAGGGCATTAAGCAAAACAAATTGTTTAAAGGAAATTAGATGAGTATATTCCCTTTGAACTCAGACTGCTAGACGATATGGCTAGTGTATTTCCTTGATGGTGGAACAAGCAACGATTTTGTCTATTTATACAGTAGAGAAATGATGATAACGCCACTGTCCACGAGAACAGTATTTAAGTATGCTTTGCAGATTGTACAATAATGATAACAACAGTTATAAGAAAAAGTAAATGTCAATGATAATGACAATGAAAATAGTCATTTTCTGCAAATTATAATTTTGGGTTATGTGTGGACTTCTATTAAATGGTTTCTCTGTTATTCTGCCTACCCAATAACACTTTGGGATGGGTGGATCCTCATGGAATTTCCTCGTGAAAAATAAGACCCTGATGAAGTCAATTTCGTATCGTGCATGATGCGTGATGTGTGTTAAGCATAGACCAAGGTTCAAATGTGCTTTAGATCTGGTCATATGTTATGGTATAATATCTTTTAAAGAATTCCAGATGTTCACTGACAGGAAGCAACAGTTTGAGGGATATAAGGCTGATATCAAATGCTTCAGGGCTCTCTTGGAGTAACAGATTACCCAATTCAGGACTCATTTTAACCGCAAGGTTAACGAATTAAAAGAACATTTTTGAGTGTTTGGTTGGAAAGTTTAATCCTTCAGAGCATCAGTAATTCTTGATATAGATTGTTATTCAATCAAATTAGATGTCTAGGAGATGAAATATTTGGAATGAAAAAGTTTAAGACAAATGCCTGGTAATACTAAGAAGCCTAAAACTTGACATTTTGTGGAAGTTATAGATAGCAGCAAGGCAAGTAGAGAAGATGTTTGAGATAGAGATGTCAAACAAAATTTACATGTGCTGTACTTAATTCTGATTCTAGTCAGCTAAGCTGTGAAGAATGGCTCAAGGCAGTGGCATCTATGGATAAAATTGGCTCAAGGTGGGCTTTTTGTGGAATATTATCTTTTGAAATGGATAGTATCAATGAGAGGGTGAAAGAATCTGTAGTTACTTAAAAATGGAGTATTGTTCTTGGTTTGTTTATCATCTTTGACAAATGAATTGTATTATTTTTCTTTTTTTTCTTTTTTTTGCTTGTGGAGATCTTCTAAATGAACATTGGGCGACATAACACTGGCTATTTTATCATAGGTGTTTCATAATGTTGTTTTATTGCCACTTGTTTTTCTGTTTAGTTTCAGAACCTGATCATGATCATATAACTAAAAATATATATTGCTCATACGCTCTTATAATTGCAGGTCCCTGGTATTTTGTTCACACCAATTTGTCCACATTCATTATCCTTTCGACCTCTGATATTGCCTGAGCATGTAACAGTGCGAATAGTGGTGCCTTTTAATAGCAGAAGTCCTGCTTGGGCATCATTTGATGGCAAGGACAGAAAACAGTTGGCTGCTGGGGATGCTCTTTTGTGCAGTATGGCACCTTGGCCTGTTCCTACAGCATGTCAAGTTGACTCTACTAATGATTTTTTACGCAGCATCCACGATGGCCTTCATTGGAATCTGAGGAAGACCCAGTCGTTTGATGGTCCTCGGGATTTATAGAACATATTCCAAACTTAAGCCTCAGCATTTCTAGTTGGAATTCTAACTAATACATGTCATATGTTTCAGTGTCATTGTAGGAAGGGGAAAGATAAATTCAAAATTGAAATGGCTGTAACTTTTTATCATAGTATTAGTGTCTACTCTTAAAAGAGTTTTCCCCTGGAGGTTGAAGAAAGGAACTATGTATTTGCCTTTCTGCTGATGATAACGAAAATTATAGTTAAGAGAGTATATTTGTGTATCAATATGAGATAAAGAGAGGCATATTAGTATTTTACATTTAAAAAATTTGTCAGAGTATATAGATTCAAAAATCCTAGCATTGGATAGATGTCTGAGTTTTTCTTTATTTTTTATTTCACAGTATACAGGGAAAATGCATGGTTTCCTTTCTACCAGCCTATTCCCTTTCTGTCTCTTTCATTTGGGATGTTGTTTTCAAGTAGTACTATTTCATTGTTTTCAAAATTGGCTCAATATTTCAACATGAAGCAACAAAATATTTATAAATAACTATAATACGATGCTAAAAAGCTAATACAAAGACCGTAATAGGAGTGTAGAACAAATTACTAAAAGTTAAAAGCAATAAAAATAATTATAATGAAATATAACATAATTAATATGTATTTATTTCAATAAATTAACATGAGATCAGAAAATGAACATAAAGCTGCCTATTAAATAATAAACCTTCATTAACAAATTAAATTTTGTTTTGAAAAGGTCGGCCCACTATCCTTGATTCGAAGCTCTGTTGATCCTTTCAATAAGCAAATGCACAAATCCCAATTCATCATTTTATTTCACCTATGGAGTTGCACATGATTAGGTAACTTAAAAATGCAAAAATTGCTCTTTTAAACTATTATGAAATCGATGGAAACTTAAATGTTAAGAATCCTCTTTCAGATATTGATTAATATTAGATCATGCATGTTATTTGCCCCATTCATTTTTCATTTTCCTAACCAGTTCCAATGTCTTCTGCAACTCCATTGCCACAAAAATTTCGATATATATCTCTTGGAAGTTCCTGCATGTCTGTAGTAATTTCAGCCATCTTTTTCTTGCTTCTAACTCTCCTGTATACCCAAAATTGTACCCAATCTTTTGGTCTGTTTAATCCCATTGAACTCAAATGGTCAACTTCACCGGATAATAATAGCACTTCTCCTATCAACTTTCCTACAGACATTAGCCACATTAAGTTCATATTAGTCAGCTCCAAAAAGACCTGGAAGTCTAGAAAACCATACATTGAAGCCTGGTGGCGATCAAATCAAACTAGGGGAAATATTTTTTTTGATTCACCTCCCGCAAAAGACTTGTTGCCTTGGCCTTTGTCTCTTCCTCCATTCCGGGTCAATGAAGACGTCAAGAAGCTAAGTGTGCATCGTAAGCTTGTTGTTCCTGAAGCAGCTCGTATCTTTCGTTCAGTTCTGGAGACATTTAGGCTAGGAGACAACGAAAAAGTGAGATGGTATGTAATGGGGGATGATGACACTCTTTTTTTGGTACATAATTTGGTTGAGGTACTAGGAAAATACGATCACACCCAATATTATTACATTGGGATGACTTCGGAGGCTATTAAGTCTAATTTCGACTTCTCCTTCAATATGGCGTATGGTGGAGGTGGTTATGCTTTGAGCTACTCCTTGGTAGAAGCACTGGCGCCCACTATCGATGAATGTATTGAGAGATACCCTCACTTGCGTGTTAGTGATCAATTATTGTCTTCTTGTTTGGCTGATTTGGGAGTTGATCTCACCATCGAAAAGGGTTTTCACCAGGTAATCAACGCCTTCCATTTATGATATTCGCTTTCATAGGGTTTGTTTTTCGGGGAATATAATTTTTCAAATTGTTAAAATCGAATGGCTTCTGGTGATATATAATCCATTTCCCATCCCTTTTTGGATTTTGTATCATATCCTTAGATAAAAGTTTTTCTGAAGTTTATTGTACATTTTTGGAATCTTGTAAATATTGCAGATTGATTTACATGGTGATATATCAGGTCTCCTATCGTCTCACACTCAGTCTCCTCTTGTCTCACTTCACCATTTGGACGGTATAGACCCACTCTTCCCCTCCAAGAACCGCTCTGAATCGATTAACCATCTCATGGAAGCTGCAAGCTTTGATCAATCTCGCCTGCTACAACAAACAATCTGCTACCACAGGCCAACCAACTGGACTTTCTCAGTGTCATGGGGCTACTCGGTTCTTACATATGAAAACATAATCCCTCGGAGTGTTCTAAGGAATCCCCTTGAGACATTTGCACCGTTCAAGAAATCTGTTAGGCCTCCGTTGTACATGTTTGACACGCGGCTTCCCTCTAATGATCCCTGCCAAACTCCTCGTCTCTTCTTTTTAGAATCTGTCAAGAATACTGAACGCAACCAAGTTCTCACTACATACAGTCGAACATCAGAGCACAATCTGCCACCTTGTTTATCAAGTGGCAATCATTCTGCGGATCCCATCACCAAGATTCATGTTGTTTTACAGGCAACAAGGCGTAAGCAGGTTGGCCTCCTTTCCAACTTCTGTGTTTGTATTTTATATCTATGAAGTTATAGAAACAAGTAGAAGCCACCATCGTAGTCAAGTAATACATATTATACAAGAATTTAATGAATTATATCAATTAAATAAATTAACCAAGGAACCAGCATAAAATTAACTTAACTTACTAAACCATATGATGAGACTTATAAATCTCAAATCTCATGGACATGTTTAATTGCAAGAAATAGAATAGATATTCTCTTTTATTCCTTTTATGATTGCGTTCGGTTTATAAAATAATTATTTCCAAAAAAATAATCATTCTTAATTATCTATCATTGGTAATGGCCATTCCATATGTGGGAATAGGTTAAAAAAGTTATTAGATAAATACCCTATTCAATTTTAACAATTACTACCTTATATATAAGACAAAACCTATTCATTTTCCATTTTTATTTCCCTCTTTACTCATATACCTCTCTCTTTCTCTGTCTAAATTTCCTCCATCGACCGCATTGATACCTCCACGACTAGATAGATAGATGCTTCCCACGGTTAAATCTAGTTGTTAGAGTGCTAGAGTGGTGCTTCATGTGACTAGATTTGGCCGTGAATGATAGATCAACCACCACCACCAGAGGATCTGTTGGAGGAGACAAGGGTGGAGAAAATTTAGAGAGAGGAGAGAGAGAAAAAAGAGAAAAATGAACAATTTTTATAATTAGGATTAGGTTTTAATATATATATAGAGTAATCATTTCACAAAATAATTAAAGGACACTTTTCTTTAATTTTTTTTTCAATTTATTACTTGGTCCACGGAATAGTTATTATCAAGAGAATTTTCGATTTCGTCTTAAATAATTATTTCGTGAATTAAATTATAAAATTATATAAGAAGATAATAAGAAATAAGGGTAACGAAATTGTGATTCCTACCAACCAAACACACATGAGGTTCAGAAAATAACAAGACTAACTGTGATTGTTTGTGTTATTTTACAGGCTGCAAAAGTAGAATGCTGCGATGTCAAATACGTTGGTGGTGCCAATGTTGCAGGCATCAAGTTAAGGCCCTGTATGAGCGGTGAAGTAATTGCCTAGCTGTATGGCACGCTATCATTGAATTTAGATTTCTTTATATTAATAAGCATGTGCCAACTATTTAATCTATTTGTGAAGGTTAAAAAGTTTACTGCAAGTACATAGACATTAAATAATTCAACTAAATTAGGTTTTTTCTAACTCTAAATTAGGCTTTCGATATTTATATCTTCTTGCAAATTATGAATTTTACTCTCATAATGTGCCTAATAGTGTAACATAACAAGGGCGAGCAAACTAGGTATAGCATCTTTATTGATTTAGTAATGAAGAAAAAATGATTTAGAAAACTGAAAGGCCTAAGACTGTATGAGGGTCTGAGAGATGTTAAAGAAGGTAAGGCTGGGTTTGTCGATTTGCAGGAAACATGGAACTTTCCACCAAATGGGGCAAATGAATATGTGTTTTGGTTAAGTCAACTCCCCCTATTAACTCACCAATATCATACTGAGGAAGTGTTTAGATTTTCCTTCTTTTTTTTTTCTGACATTCAAACATTTATTGCACATTTACATACAAACACAAAGAATAAGATACAAAACAAAACAACTAAGCTTATGTTGGAAAATGAATAATACTTATGCAATCAAGTTCCAGACTACCGGAAAGAACAAAAGCAGAGAATTGTTTTGTATTTAATGGGTTGGATTCGAGCTCAAAAATTAAATATTAAATAAAAATATTTTTTTATATTTTAATAATAAATTAACTTAAATAGTACATTTGAATGTTTAATTCATTAGTTGATATATGATTCTTTGTCTAAAGAATAGGGTTCGAATCTCCTTAAATGAGTGGACAGACTTGACTGATTTGAAATTTTTAAGATACCAATCGTGTTTAACCAACCTAACCCAACCCATTGATACCTCCAAAATAAGCTCCTTCACTAATATTTTTTTTTCCTTTTTAGGTGAAATACCTTTTTGTAACGCATTGGACATCATTCAAGAATTTTTTTTCTCATTCTTGCATTGCAAAATTAATTAGATCTTCATTTTAAATATCTTCATAACATAATATCTTAAATAGCTTTTAAACTATTTAAAAAAATTCAAATAAACTCTTATTTTTTATTACGTTAATTAAATCAAATTTTTATATTTTTACTTTGATTCAAATAAGTTTTTATACTTTTATTTTTAGTCAAATAAGTTCTTATAACTAATGGTTGATTAATACAAAAAATCACTTATCATTCTATGCCACATCGCACTAATATGATATGTTGATATATCATAATATATGATAATGTAATATGATAATATGACCGTGTTGCATTTTTCACCCATCACATTAATAGCACATGGGTATAAAATAATAAGCACCATTTGACTAATAACAATTAGACAACCATTAGTAATAATTAAGGCCTTATTTGACCTAAATTAAAAGTAAAGGGATTTGATTGGTGTCATAAAAAATAAGAACTTATTTGAATATTTTTTTAATAGTTCAAAGACTTTTTCTAATATTATACCTATCTTCTTTCAAATCAATTAAATTTATTGAGATTTTGTGTTTACGTTAAGGAGGAAGTTCTAATATATTTTAAGTTTGTGGTTCAAATGTGGATTTTATTTTATTTGTTTATTGATTTTCTCCATAAATGTATTATTTATGATTATAATTTCTACCTTATGATATGTAATCTCATAAAAAAAATAACTATGACAAGGAAAAATAATTGAGATAATAATTGAAAAGGGAAAAAATATTTATTACTTAGGACCTGTGGGAGATATAGGAAGGTAGAGAAAAATATTTTGTTTTATGATTTTGCAAACAAAGAAAATACTTACAACTATTAATCATCCAAATTTTTGAACATCTTACTTTCCCAATAAAACAATAAGAACTATATCTTAATAACTAGTCGAATAGGGTAAAATGGAAGTGTTTTTTGGGTTAAATCAGATACAATTATTCAATAATTTCACCCTTCAGACAACCTTTCAAGTTAATGTTGGCAACATTGATGCCAGTCACATATTTAACATCGCAGCATTCTATTCTTCCAGCCTGAGAAATGAAGTAATACAAACATCAGTACTTAAGAGTGAAAACTATTGAAGAATAGTGTATTTCATAAGGTTCAAACATCCCACATTGTCAAGATACTTAAAAAGTGAAGGCTTTATATATGAAAACACACTATGGGCTTGTTGCAAGCAACGAAAACAGAGTGGGCTCACGTGCACACAAGGTTAGGCCAAACCTTGAGAAATTTCAGATTTCTCCCCCTTGTGCGCGAATATACACGTGGGTTGTGCCCAAGTGAACTTTTGTACCTTGGCTTTAATTTTTTTTTAAAAGTCTTTAGCCTTGATTGAATTATACTCAAACTCTACCTAAGTTACATGGTTTTCCTCTAACGTTTATCTGACCAAGTTCTACAATGGATACTTCAGTAGCTGACCAGGTTTTTCTCTAACTCCTCGAGTATTTTTCTTAACTCCCTGATCTGGTTCAACATTCACCTGATTTGATGCAACGTACATCTCACTCCATGCCTATATATACAGTCTCACACCTTCACTCTCAACACACCAAAAGCTTATCATCTTCTAAGCTTTCATTGCTTCTTTCTTCACCTCATTCCTTTAATAGCTGGGTTCTTTCTCTATTTCTACTGTTCCTGTTCATCTCTTAATAGTTTGTGCAAACTACTAAGTAAGAGTCTGTTGAATCTTGAAAGATAATCGCTATAGTCCTTTTGCACCGAGTTTCATACTCCGAAGGGGCAGAAATTATCCTTAAGGACAGTGATACCACATTTCAGACTTTCTAATTTTACTTATTTTATTTTATATCTCTCATTTTTTGTAATCACCTCCTACAATCTTAAGGATAATGGATTCTCACGTCGATAATGCTGCTGTCACTATTCCTACTACTGCCTTTGCCCCTACTGCCACCACCGCTATCAATGGTTCCAACATGGCTCCCACTACGTTGATTGTTCCTCCTATGCCTTCGGCTTCATATGCCAAACCATTTCTAGATATTTCTAAAATAGAAGTCTTTGATGGCAGAAACTTCAAAAGGTGGCAAGAGAGGATTTTTTCAATCCTTGATGTTTATGGGGTGGCTTTTGCGCTTACTGATTCCAAGCCAGATGATGTCAAGATGCTGGAACCATGAATGCATGCAAATAAGGTATGCATGCATACAATTATTAGTAGACTTTCTAATGAGCTATTTGATGTGTACAGTTCCTATAAGGAAGCAAAGTAAATATGGGAGTCAATAATTGCTAAATACACTATTAAAGATGTTGGAAAATAGAAGTTCATGATTGGCAACTTCTATCACTGGAAGATGACTGATGATAAAGACATCAAGAGTCAAATCAATGAATACCACAAACTGTTGGATGATTTAAAGACTGAAAAAATCAACTTGCAAAAAGAGTTCGTTGCTGGGTTGTTGATTGAGAAGCTGCCAGAATCCTGGAATGGATACAAGCAACAACTAAGCACAAGGAAAAGCAATTATTACTTGTAGATCTGATTGTGCACATCATTATTGAAGACATAACCCGAAGGGAGATAAAAGCCTTCAAAGCTAAGGAAGTTGCAACTAAAGCCAACCTAGTTCAAGGTTAAACCCAACGTTAACAAAGGTACCCCTATAAACCTGATCATAAACCCAAAGCTCCTCATCCCACCTTCAAAAGGAAAGATAGTTGTTTTTTTTTGTGGAAAGCTAGGGCATCATGTAGCACAACGCAAGAAAAGAGCAAAGGAAAATGACAAACCTGCTAGTCCAATAGTCAACTTGGTCAAAGCAGATGAGTTCGATGATGTAATTGCTGCGGTCATTTCATAAGTAAATATGATAGCCAGTGTGAAGGACTGGGTGGTAGACTCAGGTGCTACCAGGCATATTTGTGCAAACAGAACTTCCTTTACCTTCTATACTCAAATAGGGGAAGGAGAAGAGATAATATATCTTGGTAATTCTCGAACTGCTCAAGTTCTTGGTAAAGGAAAAGTCCTTCTCAAGCTCACATCTAGCAAGACCTTATCTCTGAACGATGTTCTTCATGTTCCCAATATAAGGGAAAACCTGGTATCTGTGGCCTTATTAGGCAAGGTTGGGGTGAAAGTGTCATTCGAATCTGACAAGATCATGATGACAAAAAATAATGTGTTTGTGGGTAAGGGTTATTGCAATTAGGGACTCTTTGTACTTAACATTTCCAATGTTTTGAATGAAAATGCTAGTTCTTCCGTTTACATGATTGATTCTATTAATTTATGGCATGGTAGACTTGGACATGTTAGCATTCCCTACATTAAAAAAATGCAATCACTTGGTTTAATTTCTAGTATTAAAAATGGATGCTTTAATAAGTGTGAAATATGTGTAGAAACGAAATCAACTAAGAAAACTTGTATTTTAGTAAATAGAGAATCAAAATTATTAAGTTTAATACATACTGACTTAGGATATCTAAAATAAACTATGACTAGAGACGGTAAACAGTTCTATGTTCATTTATTGAAGATTATTTTAGGTTTACTAAAGTTTATTTACTTAGGCATAAAGATGATGCTTTTGAGATGTTTATTAAATATAAAGCTGAGGTAGAAAATCAACTAAATAAAAGGATAAAAAGAGTTAGATTAGATAGAGGGGGTGAATATATACCGATAAATGATATTTGTGAAAAAGAAAGAATAATTTATGAAATTACACCTCTATATTCTCCTAAATCAAATGGTGTAACAGAAAGAAAAAATAGAACATTAAAAAAAATGATGAACTCTATGCTTGTTAGTTCTAATGCACATGAAAATTTGTGGGGTGAAGCGTTATTGTCTGCATGTCATATTCAAAATAGAATACCTTATAAGAAAATTGGTAGGACACCTTATGAATTATGAAAATGTTATTCTCCTAATTTAAAATATTTGAAAGTGTGGGGGTGTCTAGGTAAGGTAATGGTTCCTGAATTTAAAAAGAGAAAAATTAGTTTTAAGACATCTGATTGC